CAGGCTGCAGTTGGAGTACTGTGTCCAGTTCTGGGCGATGCACTTCAGGAGGGATGTGGACAGCATCAAGAGGGTCCAGAGGGGGCCACTCACGTGATCAGGGGGCAGCAAGGCAGGCCCTACGAGTGGAGGCTAAGGGACCCGAACCTGTTCAGCCTCCACAAGAGAAGTCTGAGAGGGGATCTGGTGGCCGTCTACAAACTGGAGAGTCCCTGTTCCCCTGAGCACTACTGGGAGTAACGAGGAATAATGGCCATAAATTGACTGAGAGTACATTCAGGCTAGATATCAGGAGGCACTACTTCACAGTCAGGGCAGCTAGGATCTGGAACCAACTTCCATGGGAAGTGGTGCTCGCTCCTACCCTGGGGGTCTTTAGAAGGAGGCTAGGTAATCACCTAGCCGGGCTTGTTTGATCCCAGCCTTCTTTCCTGCCCATGGCAGGGGGTCAGACTTGATGATCTGCTCAGGTCCCTTTTGTCCCTACAAACTATGAAGCCCTTCTACCCCCTTCCCCCAACAAGCATGTACAGACCTGTGCCCTGAACTCCCTTTTGGCAGTCACATGATTGGGATCTCGTCCCCAATCCTAACAATTGTACCTCCTGCGATGAATGTGTGGCATGGCAAGAGGTATAGTTGTTAGGATTGGGGATCAGAGCCCCTTATGCCATTTAGTGAACAGCTGCCAGCCCCTGATGGAGACCTGAGTATTCAATAACTTGCTTCATTTGATATATCCCAAATCCTATTTTAACTCTCCTTTCTGTTGCTGCAGGTGACCAAAGTTATTGAAAACTCATGAATAACCTATGATGGACAGCAAAGACTTGGAAGCAGAAATCCACCCTCTAAAGAATGAGGATGGGAAAGCACAAGAGAACCATGAAAATTGTACAGAGAAAGAACGTGTCTGTAAAAAGCCCACACGATTTGCTCAGCTCTCCCGATGGCGAACTGCTGCCTTCTTCCTCTCGTTATTTCTCTGTCTTATTGTGGTGTTTGCTTTTTCATTCATCATACCTTGTCCAGTGAGGCCTCTTTCACAAAAGACGTGGCACAGAACATATGAAAATGCAGGTGAATTTGCTATATAAAAATATTTCTAAACTGTCATTTTCTACAGATTATGGGACTCTTGCCAGAATGTGGCCCTCCATCCAGCCTGCAGGGGTCTTGATGAGCATATGAGCTGCAGTTAATTTAGGTTTCCATATACAGTGGTTCCTTTTAATCAGAGTGGCTTTCTGGTAGAAGTTTGCAATGTGTTATGGTTGGGCAAATAGGGTGTTGCTCTCCAGCATTAACAGTACAGCAAGTGGGCCTGATCTGGGCAAAGTGAGTGCTCTAAGGAGTTAGACCTTTGCTGAATATTAGTGCTCCTTAAAATGTACCTTGAAGTGACTTTGAGCTGAGATTTGAAAGCAGCCCTTTTTCCATAAGAAACTCTTACAAGTATTGGGTAAGTGAAGGGGAAGTGCAAGGGAAGGAAATCTTGTTACTTGTAAATAACGCACTGTAATCTGAAGGAAAATATCCTTTTACTGAAGTTGTCTCTGGAAATCTGGGAGCAGTTTGTTTATTGCTACAGCTTGTGTTTCTGTGCCCTTGTAGCTTACTGTCTCACCATCGTCATCTTCCTTTTTTTCTGAAGCGGAATAAGATTTTTATCTTGTGCGCATTGTCTAACAAATTATGGCCATGTACTCGCAGACACCGCAAGTCTTTGGAGATTGAACCAGTCATTTCCAGCATCAGAAACAAAATCGTCTTTCCTTTTGAATTGAAAAAGAATTCCTCTTAGTTGTAAATTAGAAGCTATTACATGTGTGGGTTCACCCATTGGTAAAGTATACCTCAAACCAGAGATTGAGATTGTTTATCAAATTATTTTAATGGTTTGACTTGCCTAAAACAGGAGTCAGCAACCAATGGACTATGAGTCAGATCCGGCCATGGAGCTGTTTTATTCGGCCCGTGGACCTTGAGGGACTTGTGTTGACAGTGGAGGGCTTCTACAGCATTTTGGCAGTAGGGGGCTTCACCAAGGCGGGGCAGAGGCACTGTAGTTGTGGTTCTGGCTCCTGTTCAAACACAAGGTACTTATCATCTGGACAGGATTAAACTACAGTAAACTAAGGACACACTTATATAGTGGTCTGATGCTCTTATTGTCATTGGCTTCACATCTTTGGTGGTTTTGCTTTGACTTTCCTGAGCATTCCTATTTAGATGTGTTTTTTTTAATAAATGAAACACTAATCTGTTCTGGCATTGCTTTCACAAAAGAAAGAGGTTGTGAATAGTTATCAGGTTTCTAAGGGCTAGCAGTTTTCTCCATTTGGCTGCATTACTGCTGTATTCTTTCATCCTGTTTATGAAAGTAGGTACTTACTAGGATTTGGTCTGTGATCTCTTTGCAGTGACCTACTCATTTTTGGCTGTAGAAGATGTGGACAAAGACAAAGTTCAAGATATTATCTTTGCTTTCAAAAGTACCAACAGTAGCAGCAGTTTTAACAGATCCTGCTTGGATGAAGGTAACTGTGACTCTAAGGAGGCTCAAAAAGAGGTTTTTGGTGAAAAATGTGTGTGAGGGGTGGGGGGGTTGTGTCATACTTATGGGTAAGGTTGCTGTGACAAATCCCTTCTGTGGATGGAGTTATCATCTGACAAAGACAAGTTAACTTCTTTAGGAAGCTGCCATTTGATTTCTGTTGAGCTTATGTCCAGTCTTGAAGCTCTCTTGTCATAGTTGAGAATCAGGAAACTCTTTGTGACACGACAGATTAAAAAGGGAAAATTGGCAGAGAAGCTGTGAATATAAAGAGGAAAACAGTCTCTGGAGAAGCAGGGTTGGTGTAGGTACCCTGCTGAAATGGTTGTATGTACAGTGATACCCAAGGTAAGAAAGGGATTTTATTTTCCCCTCTAAAACATGTTTTTCTGTTCAGGCCTTTCCACTCCATGTGCCTTTATTGTTGCTGTGTCAGGCACTGATGGCAGCACACTCTGGGAGAGGCCTGTCACTGAAGATGTCCATTGGATGGAGTGTGGCATTGAACAATTGGGTGGGGCTCAGTCCCCAGGCTGCCTTGTCTTGGGGAAGCCGGAGTCCTTAACTGCAATCAACTCTCAAACAGGTAGGTCAAAGTAGAATGTTACTGATGCATAGTACAATCAGTTTTTATTTCATTTGCCCATTTGCTTCTCTCTGTTTGCTGGTGCTTTTGGCACTTTGCCCCAAAAATGTTGCTGACCTCTGGAGCCTAGGGTATTTTATCATCATCATGAAAACTGAATTGGATGCATCCACATTGCAGATGGTATTATGCTTTCAGCCAATTCAATTTCTAAGCTGTTTCCTCCTGCTTGTTGTTTGGGTTGTGTCCAGTTTGAAGTACATCCGTTCTGGACTTCTGATCAATAAAGAGACTTAATCACTGGACAGGAAGTTTATAGTTAAGTCTGTGCTAGGAGCATATTACCAGCATAGCTGTATTTGTATATTATGTCACAATAACAAAAGTGAAGGCAGCGATAAGAAATAAAAGTCTGATACGTAACAAGTAGGGAAGGTCATCTAGTTCAGGGCTGTCCAACTTCTGGGCAGCTGGGAGCTACATGTCACATGAGCCCTCCCAGGGCCACATGGGTAGCTTAGAGCACCCTGTCCCTCTCCAGCTGGCACACACCATGCAAACACCCTGCCTTCCCTACTTCCCTAGTCATTTGTGCTGTGTGGGGAGCACTCCTTTCCCACTGACACCTGCAGCACAGGCAGCCTGGCTTCCCCCTGCTGCACGTGCAGCACCTTCCTTTCCAGCCATGCACCCACCTGCAATGTAGGCAGCCTGGCTCCTGTCTTTCTCATTCACAGTGCAAGCATTCCAGTCCCCTCCCTTGCTTTGTGCACAATGTGGGCACTCTGGCCCCCCACTGCACACTCAACTCAGGTACCCCAGCCCCTTCCCACCTCCGTGGGCAAGAAGTAAAAGCAGAGGTGAGCAGGGGGGCCTGAAGAACCCAGCTACTGTGGCAGGAGTAGTGGCAGGGGGAGGGAGGTAGGGAGTAGTGGTGGCTATTCCAGACACTCACAGGCCACATGGTTATCTTTTGGGAGTTACATGCTGCCTGCAGGCTGTTAGTTGGACAGCCCTGGCCTTGTCCAGCCCGCTGCTCAAGGCAGGATCATCCCTGTCTTAAAGCATCCCAGCCAAGTGTCTGTCTAATTTGCTCTTAAAAACTTCCAGGGTTGGGATAGCCTATTCCAGTGCTTAATCACGTTCAGAGTTTAGAAAGTTCTTCCTAATATCTCATCTAAATTTCCCCTGGTAAAGTTTTAAAAACATTAGTACTTATTCTCTTCCCTGCAGCAACAGAGAGTAGTCTATCGCCATCCTCTTTATAATCACTCTGTCTATTTGGAGACTTGTTAATTTGATGTTTCAGACTGTTTTTCCAGTTTATCAGAGCCATTCAGAATCCTAATCTTATCCTCCAAAATTTCTGCAACAGCACCCAGCTTGATATCATCTGCAAATTTGCTAAGCATGCACTTCATTCCATCCTGCAGGTCATTAATGATAATATTAAACAGTCAGAAGGCAGGGTAGATTAGCACCTTGTAGACTAAGTGTGTGCAAAATACAATTCCATGGCCAGATTCACCCTGGCAAAGGATTTTGTCTGGTTTGTGGTGGGTCCTTTGGTCCCACATAACCTAGCTCAGGGGGGCAGCCTGGGCTGTAATACATGTGGCCGGTCTTCCCACACCCAGGCAAGCAATGGGGCAGGAGCAGCATGGCGGCTGGACTCAGTTCCCAGCAGCCCCCATAGCAGCGGCTCCTTCCAGCCACAGCTGCCAGTCACTGTCTCCAGACCTGGTCCCACTGTCCTGTCATCCCAACCCATCTGCCCTGCACCCACCACTGGTAGTGCTGTATGGAGTGGGCAGGCAGGGTCTCCATGAAGACCAACCCAGGACCTGCATACGCAGGGTGCACTTGGTTGGATGCATGGGGTGGGGCTGTGAGCCAGCAGGGAGCAGCCACCCCAAAATTTACTGTAGCTCCCACCGCCCCCCTTCCCAGCACTGCTGCCTCCCACCCCAAGTGCAGCCCTGGCCCCAGCCCGCAGTGGTATCCAGTCCTGCCCCATGCAGATATGCAGGCACACGCCCCCATTCCCCACCCCGCTGAGCTGTGGCTCCATCCTGTGCCCCACCTTGGCTAGGCAGTGCCTGCCCCAGCCCCACTCCCTCCCTCACTGTGGGGACTTCGATCTGCCTCCCCATGCCCCTTCCTTCCCCACTCCTGTTCCACCACAACAGACTTACTAGCTAGATGCAGTTCTCCACGCTGCCGGGCTGTGCTCCTCACCACCTACGTGCTGCACTGCAACTGCACGCATGCATGGGGCATTTATTGGCAACATTGGGCAAAAAAAGCCAATTTCCAATACACTTGATTTTCTTTATATCTGTGCCAATCTGATATTGGACTGATGTATTGACACACCTCTAGTTTTCAGTTGATACAGAGTAAAGACTAGGTAAAAGGTCATGTAAGCAATCAGACCATTGTGAAAAATTAGTTTTGTCAAACAAGTCTAATTTGATTTTTTTGAGATAATTACATGTTTGGTTGATTAAGTTAATGGTGCAGATGTAATACATTTAGACTTTTTTAAAGGTGTCTGACTTTGTACTGCACAGAAGTCTGCTTAAAATAGCACTATACATTATGAGTTAAACTTGTTAGATATGTTGAGCTGGTCAACTGCCATATTTCCAAAAATAATTGTTGATAGACAAACCATCATTAAATGCAGGAGTTTCTAGTGAGGATTTATTGGAATTAGGCCTGATGCTATTTGACATTTTATCAATTTTCTAGAATTTTTTTTTTCAATTTTCCAACTCCTAGATTATTGATTCTTAAAGGAGCACCTTGTAAAGAGTGTTTTGTCACAATACTAAAATTGGTGCCACGCCGTCAACCTGGGTGCATTACAAAATATAGAAAGTGCTGTGGAGCCTACTCAAGATGTCATTCAGCTAGGATTTAAATTTCTGGCCCTGTTGGTCAACCCGGATAAAAAATGCCTGTACAAAGGCATTAGAAGAGCTAATTTTGCAGTAAAGAACTTTTGTTTGTGTGCCGGTAGACTGGGTTTTTCTTCAAGCAGAGATGTGGAGAATGATGATAATGTACTAAAAGGTCTTTTTTGTTTCATGTGACTAACTGAAATTTTCCCTCTGCATTACCATTATTAGATGGTTAATTTCAGATTCTGTTAGTTTTGCTGACTCTATGAGATGCCTGCATGGTGGCATCTAGACCTTTGAAGTAATCGGATGTTCTACTTTGATGCTATGTAGCATACATGTCTCCATGCCAGTCCTTTGTGGCAGAACTGAAATCTTTAGCTGGATGGTTTGGACTCTTTCTCCCTGGGCCATAGGCTTGCATCTCATTTCGTGGGCAGCCCATACAGGCCACCTTGCAGTAAAGGGAAATGTGTGACCTCCAGATAATCACCTCCTCATCACTGACCTAGAAATCAAAGAAATAAAACCTCTTCCCTCAGAATTCGTTAGCAAATCTGCCATCCTTCTAGACAGCAACAATAGGACAGTGGTGTCTAACCTAAAGTATAAATTCAAGGAAAAAGTGTACAGCAGAGGGTTTAAAAAATTGTTTAAAGGTGGGGCAGACTTATACAGGGAAATATTTTAAGCTCTTAGCCTGTTCTGCTAAATCAGTTCTGGAATTTCTATTCACAAGATAAAGGTCTTAATCCAAGGTTCTTTCATGCTATTGCATCTGGTTTGGGAACCTTCCAGCCTTAAAGAAACATTTTTGCCGTCTGTTTTTAATCGGCTTATTTTCAAATCAGTGACCAGATTCATACTTAGCTTTAAAGATACAGTGGTGGTGTTCTTTCCAGACAAAATAGTCTTGTGTTTTCATTTTTCTTGCTAAGCACTTGTCTGCCTTCCATCTGAATTTACATTACCTTCCTATAAATGTAACTAGAAATAACTAGAAAAACCCCTGTAGGTGTACTCTGGAGGCAGAATTCTGTGACATTTTGGGAACTTAGGCATCATTTATGAATGTGTCACTTGTGCAGGGTAGATATGCAAGTATCCACAACACTACTAGGTTACATAGTGGCTAGGCAGGTACGCAGCTAGGTACACAAGTCTGTGAGCATAAGTTATTTGAAAAAAAACCAGGAGGAAGGAGAGGGTGAGGGCCCTACCATATTTAACTTTAATAGCAGATTGGTTGGAGCGTTTGCCCAAGAAGCTGGAGACCTGGTTTCTAGTACCCCTCCCCTTGCCCAGAGGACCTTGGAACTTGCTTCTCTTTGATATTTCATCCCTGTGCTCTAACCACCATACCACAGATTATGTGAGGCATTAGCTTATGTGTCCACCCTACATGAGTAATAGAATTGCATACATGCTGCTGTTCAGGATTTAGGAGACCAGAGTAATTGGATTCTCTGTTCATCCTTAATGGAGATCAAATGAAAACATGAAAGCTTCAAAGATCGCTTGTGTTAGATCAGAGTGGCCATTACTCAGGCCTATACCTATACTAAATTAGACTCAATTTTGAAGCATTAAGATACTTTCCTACAAATTTATTTCTACAGCCTACTGAGCAAAGGTTAAAGCCTCCTCTGATTAAGTATGCTGTGCACCAGCCTGATCTTCCCTTCATAGCCTCAGGCTATGTGGAAGCCAGGGTAATATTAGCTACAATTTGTATTCTCCCTTACCTGCCTGCTTGCTGGGTTTTTTGGAGGCAAGTTGTTAACAACTATTACAGAGTGGACAGGTAAAAAAAAAAAAAAAAAAAGTGGATCTGTGACAAGGTGCCATCTTTGGTTGCATTTGTTTTTTTAAGACCAGTGAGTGTGCCCCTGTCAAGTCTTGCTGAATTTTCTTTCTCTGGGGATCAGCTTCTCCTCCCCCACCCCCTTTTTACTCACCTGCCATGACTTGATGTTACTTGGTTCTAAAAAAAGGAAGAAAAAAAAGAGGGAGGCTGACCCACAGGTTCCCAGTCAGGCTCACTGCCTGTATGATAATGAGCTGCCCTTAAGGGCAAAAAAAATGCACCATCCT